TGGGAGTCTGACAACCAATCAGAATACAAGCTTGAGATCAAAGGCCAGAGAGGGCATAAAACCAGGGACTCAGCTTTTCTTCCTTGCTTGCTTTCCTTTCTCTTTTCTTCTCCATCAACATTGAAGCATGTGATCACCTTTTCTGTTCAGGACTCAAGCCATGTGGTCCTGTCCACCATTAAAACCATCTTTCCAAGCAGCCTCCATATCTCCAGTGTCTTTTTCCCCACTTGGAGCCGAACCCAGAAGGACATTTGTTTCATCAATAGTTTGTAGTGGTTTCAAAATCAACAAGCTCTGTTTAATGCTGGCCTGGTTAAAAAACTGCTTTTGAGATTACAGACGTTTGTGTGCTAATCTTACTTTGCCACCAGCAAATTAAAACCACTAGAGAAAAGTGAATAGAGAAAAATGTGTAAGCTCTTGTATTATTCCTAGTTCTACAAATCTGATTCTCCAAATTGCTGTGACTTCTGAAAAGGCTATCCAGAAGCATAAGGAGAAAAACTCATCTAAATATGAGAATATTTCATCTCGGCTTTATAGCAATCTCTTTGTATATGTATAGAACAAACCTGTCCAAAGAATTCTGGGCCAATTTATAAAACCAAGTAACGAAATATCAGCAATATTTGTCAATCCAAATGTTCAGCTCCAAAGCAAACGTTAAAAGGTTGTTTTGGATGAAATACACACAGCATTAAGTTTTTAAACACTTGCCTAGATTTAAAGTCTTGATAAAATGCACTAAATCTTTTAAGGTTTTTAATGAATTTAGCAGGTGCTTCATAAATCAGAGTTTGGCTCAGCCCTTCTTTTAACAGCAGTAAACTAGGAAATTGTTGTGAGCTGAGGCAAAACACATTCCTGTAACGGGGAAAACAAACAAGGTTTTTGAACAAGAAAACTGGCCTCATGTCTGGAACTGACTCTGGTGACAGCATATCAGATTCCATCTGTGGATCTACAGTTAACAATATCAAGATGTAACTGGGTAGAATGGTAAATGCATCAGAAACTTAAGGAATCATCATCAGCACAGCTTGGCCGTGGAAGAAACACGAGAAGCTGCTATAGTTACAGGAACTTTGTTGTATTTCTTTTTGTAGCCTGGTCAAATCCAGTTAGATTCACTCTTGGCAGAAATGAAAACTTATGTCACTGTCTCTTCATAGGGGCTGGGCAGGGGTGGGATCCTGCCAGTTCTAACCTCTTCTATAGAAGAGGTTCCACAAATCTACAGTGCCGTTTAGAACCGGTTCCAGCTCCCTCCCCCCCCCCCCCCCCCCCCCCCCCCCCC